GGCTCTCGAGCCGCAGTTTGCCGACCGCTGGCCTAAGGGAAGTGGCTGCTGGGGTCAGATTTCCCAGTTTGAGTTGTGGCAGAGAGAATCACATTTATTGAGGTCCTGCTCCTATTCCATCTGCTTCAGGAGTCTTAATCTCAGTGAACCCTGGGAAATAGATATTATCATGCCTGTTTCAATGGTGAAGAAACCGAGGCTCAGAGATTACCACCTGAGAATGGCAGAGTCTGGAACCTCCCCTGGGTCGTCTGACCCAAAAGTGCAGGCTCTTTGCCCCCCTCTCTGGTGGCATGCACAAGTCTGGTTTATAACCAAGGCCCCTCTGCATTGTCCCCATCACCAAATGCTTGTGAGGCCCATAGATCTAAACCCACATGCTCTGAGGGGGCATTAGCCATGCCTTGCAAGGTGGACCTTCACAGTATAAGGCAAAGCGTGCACAGACGAGGGCACAAATATCAGCAGCACAATGAATAATACAGGTCTAAATACAGAAATTAAAGAATTAATTCTATTTCCTTGGCCTGACCTCTTTGTCCGAACCTGTGGTCCTGATAAAGTGTGTTTATTTCTTCTGTTTACTTATGAGCACATAGAAAATCCAGTTATGTGAATATATATATATATATATCCACTGCTTGACTGATTAGAAATGAGGATAAATTTGCTGCTTTCCACAGTGCCTGTCTCAGGGGAGGCGTCTCCTCTTTGCATATGTAATTTCCTTTTTCCTTGTCTCCGTCTTGAGGAGCAGGGATGTGTGTCAGTTTTGCAGACAAGCAGCTCTCTCAGAGAGGTCAACTAACTTGCCTGAGATCTCTCAGGAAGTGAGAGCGATAATCCAAATACAAGAGTCTTGCTCACATCACCGGAAAGCAAGAGGCTATGACCCTGGTCCTGTTTATTGGGTTTCCCATTGATTTTATTTACACGTGGAGGACCTTTAGAAAAAAAAACACACAAAAACCCTCTTATTGTGGAAAAATCCAACCCTCTAGAAAATTGTAGATGGAATAATAAAACCTGAGAGGTCCTTTTAATTCAACCAGAATCGGTTGCCTTTAGAGCTGCCATAGGCTGAGGACATTGAACAAAAGGGACCCTTGAACTTGCCGTGTCCTTTACTCTCTTAAACAAAAAAACAATAACAAAAAATACATTCAGGACACATTTTCCAATCATTGACGATTTTTAGGAGGATTTTCATTTTTGGAAGGAAAAAGGTACTCTTTCCTTTTTAATTGTTCTCAGTGTTCTTTGTTACCAATCACGATGTTCTTTGTGGAAAGTCTTAATATACCGTCTTCCTGTGCTCAGTATTCCCGTTAACAATAAAAAGTCTAATGAACATGTCTGAGCACTATATTCAGAGACAAATAGAAGACAAACCAATAAGTGTCTCTTATGAAAGGAATGATGCAAATTAATTGATATCTTAATTAGGCTTTAGCATGAAGATGATTAGATTGAATCAGAATCGAAAAACTTAAAGGAAAAGCTGAGGGCGTGGCCCTGGGGAGAGAGAGGTATTATGTGTGCCGGTGCTCTCTGAAAATCTCTTTTACTCAGGAGAGATTTTCCAAGAGGGGGATGGAAATCTAGTCCTGCCCCGGAGCTAATGGGCACCCGCAGGTGTGGGGAGTTTGCCCGGAGTGAGCCGGGTGCCCTTGCAGTCCCACCCCGTGCTGCCGCCCCCTGCCCCTGCCTCCCCTGAACAGAAGCCCTCGGAGAACAGAGACACCCCCTCCCTTGTTTGCCTCTGGAACCCCAGTGCTAGCACAGCCCCTGACTTCATGCCACAATGATAAGGTCACAGCAGACAGGTATGTAGAGCTTACTATGCGTTCTGGATACTGTTCTAAGCACTTGATTTAAAATAACTCATTTAAGCTTCCAAACTACAGGGTGAGGCAGGGACTGCTGGTATCCTCACTTGGCGAGCCAGCAGACTGAGACACGGGTTGAGCAACTTGCCGCCTGCAATCATATGGTTGATACGGGTGGATTCAGATGGGAATGACAGAGGTCCGGCACCAGGGTCCTTGCTCTTACACACGATAACACAGCAGGTAGTGGTCAATCCATTTTTTTTTTTTGCGGAGTGAAAGGAGCAATGTGTACCACTAATGCATGGTTCCTACTCATGGACTGCTCTCAAGTTTTTAGTTCTACTCATGGACTATTCTGTCATAGACTCTGCCAGCCTCTCTACGGGGGTGGGGGAAGGGGGGTTGTGGATGCTTCCTGTATTGAACTGGTTGCTGTCTTGTTTCAACCGGAAAAGACAGACCCTACGCAGGGACTACCCCAGGCATGGCCCAGTCCATCACCCAATTAGGCCTGGACCCTAATATTCAGGCCCAACAAGGCTCCACCAAGTTTGCCCCTGTGGTCACTATGGCTCACAGAGCATTGTTACTCCACATGTGCAGTGCTTTATGGCTGCCTTACAGCTGGGCCGCTTACTGCTGAGGGGAATGACAGCATGTAGGGTGTACCTTCACGGGGTTCCCTACGCTGGTCAGGTGTGCTTTATTTACCAAGATGGTGTCTTCTGGGGAGGGTGCCTGGATTCATCTACCCATAAAAATAATCAGAAATAGGGCCCTGGGATGGGGGGGTGGTTTAAAGAGATCAGTTTTCCACTCTGCAGAGGGCAAGGTGGCACGCCCTTGCCTCAGTGGAGCTGCTAGAAGAGGTGTGCTGTGGACCCAAACCACGAGGCATGGCAGGAAGGGCGTACGGCTTGGAGGTGGGGTCCTGGATTGAAGACCCACCCCTACAACCCATCTCCAAAATGGGGATAATGCCCAGTTCCCAAAATCATTATGAGGACCCAAAGGACGTTTCAAAGTGCCTTTCATTTGAAAATTGCTCCACAAATGGCCACTATGAACAATGACCCAGGCATTCTGACAGGGAACTCTTTCGTCTTTCTTCAAGCTGCCGAGCCCTCTCTGCCTGTCTGCAGTGGCGCCCGGGAATCTGTGTTTGATAAGCTGACCTGAAGGTGCTCTAAATGTTTGAGATCACCCAGGAGCAGCTAACACCAACACAAAGGAAGCGCCTCTGCATGTAATTACCGCTTGTCTTCCTTTGGCCAAGGTCCACAGCCTGAGACCCAAAAGGGCCTGGCTTGCGTGGGCTCTGTGGCTGGCAGAAACTGTGGGCTGGCGGGCAGGCTAAGTGGATATAGCGGAGAGCTGCTCCTTCCTGCTGGCCCCTTGGATCGGGGAAAAGGGGGTGAAAATGCGGCCGAAACCCAAGCCTTCTCCAGCCTGAGCGCGAAGACAGAGGGCTGTGCCTGGCCAGGTGACCTTGGTAAGCTCTGCGGCTTAGCAGCCTTGCCGACAGCTGCCACCTGCCAGGTACCACCTGCTCTGCTTCTGAGCTGGGCTACTGAGGAAGAACCTATGTGTGCACCACAGGCTGTGTGAGAGAACTGTCTTGAGTGAGTATCGTGTGAAGGGAATGGGCAGGGAGACTTCAGGCTTAGGAGAGAGGCAGCCTCAGTGCTGACATTATTTTATCCCCAACAGCTCCTGATTTCTGGCCTCAGAATCACCCCATAGAACCATCTTAGAGACAGCCATGTGTGGATGGTGAACTGAGGTGTAACAGCTTTTCTGAGAGTTTCAGCCCCTATGACCACCAAGCTCAGAGAATGACAACACCCTAGATTGGGGCAAGATCCAGTATCTTCCTTTTGTGCCCTCAGCTCTCCTCCCTCCCCTGATGGCATAGGTCTCCCCAAGCTCTGCTCCTTCGAATGCTGCTGGTGTTTCCAAGGCTCCTCAGCAGGCCGAAGGGTGCTCGGCTGGGCAGTGCGGAGCACCTGAGCATCCTGGGAGGGGCCTGTGGTCACTGGACAGGGTCGGTTGTCAGGGTAACTCCCCCCTCCCCCGCTATTCCAGTGGCAATGAGAGCTCTTGCCTTGCTCAGGAATGCCAATAGCTAGTTTAGACGGACACCCCCTCTGCCCCATAGCTCTAGAAGGGAGAACACAAACTCCTCATATCTGTGGTAGCCTTTGTGTTTTCCAAATGCTCGCCGTATGTTCTCACTGGGTCATCATGACAACCTCCTCGGATGATGGACACTAAACGCCCAGAGGGCTTCCAAGTGACTTGCCCATGGTCATTGAGTTGGGAACCAGCCAAGCCTGGATCCAAACTTTGTCTTTCCCACAATCTTATGGGGTTGATGCCTTTGTACCCTCTATGCAATGGTCTTTGGTGGGCTTTCTGGCCAGAGCTGTATGAACGCTCGAAGCTAATGTGGATTTGCCCAGCGTGCACTGCCAGGTGCTCATGCACAAAAGGTTCAGTGGTCAAATGAGTTTGGAAAAGAAATGCATACTATAGAGTGCATATCAGGATACCAAAAGCTCTAAAAAGCTCCTCAGTGAGCTTGTCTGTCATTTGAACCTTCCCTCCACCCATCCCCACATAATGCCCATTGACAATCTACCAGATTTGAGTTCCTCAGACCTACACCAGAAAGTGTGAGGCAGGCTCCTTCATGAATATGACAGCAAAGGGACAAAGATGAGGGGAGGACATTTGTTTCTGCACAAAGAAAGGAAATGTCTGCCTATCAGAAGGAGGTTCTGCCAGATGCCCCCCACCAATTCTGCCACCTGGACTGCACAGAATCACCTCAATGCCCCGAACCCATCCCCTGGCAGTGGGGTGCCAGAGCCAATTATTAAATTTTCAGAAATTATTCAGTAGCTTGACTGGCTATGGTGGAAGTATTTGCACTATAGAACTCAGCAAACGCTACAGATTGGGGTTTCTCCCCCTGTTCTTCTGACTGCCCACTTGCCTGTGCACCACTGATCCTGACAGGTAGGTGCTGGGGAGTGGCCTGACACAGAACTTTTTGCTCATCAGAGTCCTCAACCCTCATGAGTAAGAACTGAGAACAGCAGAGAATGATAGCAACCTTCCAGCCATAATCCTCATGAATCAGAAAGTGCCTCTTGGCTGACTTACTTTGATATCTACCACCAGCCAATGTCTCCAGTACCGAGCTTGGGGCGAAGCCCTGCTAGGGGCGTCTGGATCCACCATCACCAGCATGTAGGTTGAATTCTGTAATATATTCACCAAAAAAGAAATGCATCATTATGGCTAGAATAGTAATGGGAAAACTACCTAGTGCAGACCATCCTTTAGCTCTATTCTCACCTATAATGGCTGACCCACCCCTATTGCTTCCTTCCTACGTCATCTTGGTTCTCGTGACATTCCTCGTGTGCCTCATGTTTGTGCTCAGAGGAAGGAAATTCACTAAGAAGATAGCTTAATAAGTTGGATTTCCCTGTATGAAATGGACTAAGTCAAACAAGCATATTTGCTAAGCACCTGGAAATCCTATGCTAGGGATTTCCTGTGGAGAAAACAAAGGAACCTAAAACAGGGCTCTGCTCTCAAGAAGCTCACAGTGTAGTTGGAGCGGCTTATCTATTAATCCAGCAAATATAGGAGATCTGACTCTGGGTCAGGAACTATTCCAGGTACTAGGATTCCAACAAATAACAAGATACTATGGTCCATACTTTCAGGAAGCTCTTATTCTAGGTAAAATATACGTATTTGAAAAACAAAAACAAAACCATACCCAAACAAACAAACAAAACCCAAGGAAATGTTAAGTTTGATTAGTACTATGATTAATAAAATAGGGTAGAGTGAGAGGGAGTAAGCATTCTAAGAAGAAGAAATAGCTGCTACAATACATAGGCCTTCAGGCAGAAAAAAGTTAAGGTTGGAGGAACAGAAAGAATGCCATGTGGCTGGTGGCAGGCAGGCAAGGGTGTACGTGTGTGGATATGGCAGGGTTGGAGAGGTGGATGGAGCAAAACAACAGAGGGCTTTGTGGGCCTGGATGAGGATGGGGGTTAAGTGCAATGCAGAATCAATGGAAGGATTTAGTCAAGAGACTAAATCAGGAGGGTGATATGCTCTGATTTCCATTTTTAAAAAGTTGTTTTGGTGGCTGCGTGGAGAATGAATGGTTGGCATGAAGCAAGAGAGGATGCTAGAAGACTAGTTTGGAGGCTACTTGATGGCATCTTGGACTAGGATGGCAGCAATAGGGACAGAAGCAGGTAGATGGATTAGGGAAGTATTTTCAGGTAGAATCTAAGGGATTTGCTGATGAACTACATAGTAGAGCAGTGAGGAAGGGGTAGGGGAAGAGAAATCAAGGATGATACCTGGGTTTTTGGCTTGAGCAATTGGGAGAAGAGTACTATTTAATGACATAGAGAAGACTTGGAGAGAAGACTGTTTGAAAGGGAACACCAAGAGATCTGTTTTAGACATGTTAAGTTAGAAATGCTTCTTAGAGGACAAGTATATAAGTCATAGTCTAGAGTTCTGGACCAGATATATAAATTTGGGAGTCGTTAACACATAGATGAGCCTAAATCCATAGAATCCGATGAAATTATTCATGGAAAGATCAGACACGGAGAGGAAAAGAGGTCTGATGACTGAACTCTAACACTGAGAAGAGATAAGAAGGAAAGGGAAGGGAAGGGAAGGGAAGGGAAGGGAAGGGGAGGAGAGGGGAGAGAAAAGGAGGGGAGAGGAAAGGAGGAGAGAGGAGAGGAGAGGAGAAGAGAGGAGAGGAGAGGAGAAGAGAAGAGAGGAGAGGAGAGGAGAGGAGAGGAGAGGAGAGGAGAGGAGAAGAGAAGAGAGGAGAGGAGAGGAGAGGAGAGGAGAGGAGAGGAGAGGAGAGGAGAGAAGAGAAGAGAAGAGAAGAGAAGAGAAGAGAAGAGAAGAGAAGAGAAGAGAAGAGAAGAGAAGAGAAGAGAAGAGAAGGAAAATTGAACAAAGGCGACCAGGGAGGTAGGGGGCACACCTGAATAGTAGGTATTATGAAATCTGAGACAGGAAGTATTTTAAGAAGGAGCAAGTGGTCAACTGTGTCTAATGCAGCTGAAAGATAGAGCAAGCTGGGGACACAGTTGAGACAACGTGATTTGATAACTATAATAGAAGACCACTGTTATCTTGGCAAGACCAGTTTCAGTGGAGTGGAAAGGACTGAAGTTTGACTGGAGATGAGATGGGAGATGAAGAATTGGAGATAGTTATTAAAGATGATTTTTGAAAAGTTTTGAAGAACAGCTGAAACATAGAGTGGTTCTTATTAGTATGGAGGAAGAGTCAAGAGACCTTTTTATTTTTATTCTTGTATTTTAAGAGACAGATGACAGAGAGGCAGGCTTGCCGGCTAATGGAAATGATCCAGTAGAAAGAAAGATATATTATATGCTAAAGAAGAAAAAGGAGACCATTGCAAGAGCAAAGACTGGGAAGTGGGAGGGGACAGGATACAGAGAAAAAGTGGAAGCTGGGCCTTTGGTGGGAGCAGAGGATACAGGGTATTGGAAGATGTGGTGGTAGGGAGTGAGGAAATTGTGTTCTGGTTGCTTGTATTTTCTCAGTGAATTAGTTGCAAGATCATCAGGGGAAGAAGAATTTTAGGAAGTTTGAAGACAGAGAGGAAGGTATAAAATAATGAGAAATAGCTGGAAAGTGAGAAGCTGAATATACCATAGGTATATAGTAAGGTTACCGGGTAATATTACATGCTCCAGATGGGTGCTTTTTTAATTGTTCAGTGCAGGCATGGAATAAGTGGTAGTTGGGTTTAACTTAAGTAGAAACTTAGACTGGTGAGTATGCTGGAGAGAAGGGTGCACAAGAGTGAGCAGTGAGCAAGATAGATAGAGGAGTCCTGGGCTTCCTCTTGATCTGAAGGGAGAGATAGACATAACTGCAGTCCCATGCAAAGTGCCTGAGTAAAGGAGCATTTATCAGATAGAGCACAGAGGAGGGATCCTAAACCTCTCCATCTCAGGAGACCAGGAAGGCTTCGTGGATTGTCTTTTGAACTTAATCTTGAAGGACAAAGTTCATCAGGAAAAGCACACTATATGCAAAGGGAAGAGACTGTGCAAAGCTGACTGGGAGATGGTGAGAGTCTTGGCGTGCTGGAGCATAGGGTGCCTAGAAGGAATGGCAGGTGAAAAAGTGGAAGGGTTATTGGAACCAGATAGCAGAAAGCCCTATCTGTCCTAAGTCATTTGGAATTTGTTTTGCAACAGAATCCACTGAAATTGTTTAAACAAACAACTGGCATGGCAGGACTAAATGTGTTTTGGGAAGGCATGTGACCAGGATGAGTAAAAGACTAAAAGTAGAGTGGGGAAAAAGACAACTGGGATGCTCTGGAGATCCTGAATGCCTGAAAAGTCAAGTAGGAGAGAGAGAGAGAGAGAGAGAAAAGAGAGAGAGAGAGGAAAGAGAGAGAGAGGGAGGGGGAGAGAGAGAGAAAGAGAGAGAAAGAAGAAGAAGGAGGAGGAGGAGGAAGAGGAGGAGGAGAGGAAGAAGGAGAAGAAGGAGAAGAAGAGGAAGAAGAAGAAGAAGAAGAAGAAGAAGAAGAAGAAGAAGAAGAAGAAGAAGAAGAAGAAGAAGAAGTTTTTGTTGTTGAGGAGGAGGAGAAGAAGAGGAGAAGAGGAGAAGGTAGAGGAGGGGAGGGGAGAAGAGAGGAGAGGAAAGGAGAGGAGAGGAGAGGAGAGGAGAGGAGAGGAGGGAGAGAGAGGAGAGGAGAGGAGAGGAGAGGAGAGGAGAGGAGAGGAGAGGAGAGGAGAGGAGAGGAGAGGAGAGGGAGGAGAGGAGAGGAGAGGAGAGGAGAGGAGAGGAGAGGAGAGTCATTTGTACCACTGAGTCAACAGCATGAAGTGACTGGATAGGGCAGACATACAAGAGAGAGGGAGTTGTCTAGGATGCTGCTGAGGTTCTACCTTGGGCAACTAGGTGGATTATGGCATTGCGAATAGTAGGAGTAACACATTTGGAAGACAGTGGGTTTGGTGTTAAAACATCCAGGCAGGGATGTACCTTAAATGGAACCGTGAGGCTGGAACCCTCTCAAAACCTGGCCTGTGGGTGGTGGGCGTGGGGGTGGATGAGATTGTCAGTGAGAACTTGTAGAGTGAGAATAGAAGAACTAGAGTGGAACTTGGGAACTCAGAGGGGAGGACGGAGAGACTGAGGAGGAGAGAGTTAGAGGGAGAATCAGGGAGCACAGTGGCATGGATGCCAACAGAAAATGAAGTTCTAGGAAGCAGTGGGGATCAGAATAACAGAGCCATCAAGGGATAAGGACCGTTGGTTTTGACAAATGGGAGAAAGTTTGGCAACTTTATGAAAATGAGTATTTTAGAGAAAAATGATTGTTGAATATTAAAATCCAAAAGAAGCAGTGAACCACATATTATATACTATAGAAAATTAAATCAGGAAATATGAAGATAAACCCAAGAAAATCTCCAAGAACTCAGAAGAAAAAGTAAAGAGATGAAAATATTAGAAAAAAATAGTTATTATTATATTTTTTGCAAATGACATGATTATCTACATGAGAAATCCACAAGAATTAGCTGAAAACAATTAAACTAATATTCAGTATAGTGAGTTGTTAAAAAATGAACATTTGAATATTTCCTACAGATAATAATAATGGACTGTTGGAAAATATACTTTTAAAATTTTATTTAAAATTTTAATAAAAATATAAAATATCTAGGAATGAACTTGAGGAAAAAATGCAATTCTTACACAGAAAACAAAAATATTACTAAGTGTACATAAAAACAAAACTTGATGAGATGGAGAGAGACATACTATGTTTTTAAACTGAAATAAGCATTAGCAAATTATGTCACTTGTTCTTTATTTAATTAGTCAGTTTAACATAATTCCAATCAAAACTCTAAATAGATACTTTGGGAACTTCATAAAATGATTCTAAAGTTCAGAATAAATGCAGAAAAAACATTAAGTCAAGGCAATATTGAAAAAAACAAAATGGGATAATGTTGACTTTGTAGACATCAAAATATATTATAAACTAAAATAATTACAACCATGTTGTTCTGATTATGAAATAAATGAACAAATGAAGTAAAATAGAAAATCTAGAGAGAAATCAGTGTTAAATATAGGTGTATTTAGGGGTATTTAATTTGTTATCAATGTACGATATTAAATATATGATTAAGTTATTTCAGTTCAGTGGGGAAACGATAGATTATTTTACAAGTACTATTGAGACAACTGGTTCAACACATGGAATAAATAAACTTC